GTTTTAAGGAAGGGTTTAGCTTTGACCTTAAGAGTGCCACTGATAGATGGCCGCTCCCGGTTCTAAATTCTCTAATGGCGCTGCCCAGTTACCTCTTAAACTCACGCCCAGCCTCTGCGCTCGCACCCGCAACCGCGCTCGTTCCATGATGCCAACTTCTGGATGTTCGAGAAGGTAACAAGAAATCAAGAACTCGAGGTTTGGTTTCCTCGCTTACCTAAAGCAGGAAAAGTGAAAGATGTGCCGAAGATCCGCCTATTGACTAATGAAATTATAGGTGCCTATCCCTCTCTAGCTGTTTGGAAGTCAAAGACTAAGAATTCTCTGAATTCGAAGAACGAACACGGTGGTACCATGGCAGGCGAGGGAGATCCATAAATGAAAGACGAGAGCAAGGCTCTCTCCTCAGAGGTTTTTTCTCGCTACCTGCTTTTACGCTGGGATCGGTACTACCGTGGGCAAGAGAGATGAGACCGAAGGTGTAGTTCTCCACCATAAATAAAAGCAGGAGGAAGACGGGCTATTCCACTCGCAAGAGTTTTCTTCAGCAACCAGTTTTGGGCCGGGTTGGACTTCTCACCTGTAAAGATCTTAATAAGGGGTTTTTTTTCGTTACCAGCGGTTTTTACTGCCAAGAGGAATCGATTCCCACTGTCTTCGTACTCTACACGAAGCTAGCTGACGGAGCGTTGTGAATTCTCCAAGTTCACCAATTCGATAATGACAGAAAGAATGGGAACTTACAGATCCCTACTTCTTTGAAAAGCCAGCTAGAAAATCGTTAGCCGAGCTCCCGGTGCACTGACAAAGAAGCTAAGACCATGGGGCTGAGACTGAACCACTATGTTACGTGCGGAACTCACCCAAAGAGAACAACCGCGGGAGGAAAGCGGTACCAATTTATAGGGTCACCCAACCTACTTCCTGCCGTGGCAAGTACCGGGGGGGGCACCAAACATTCGAAAACATGCACCAGCCCAATCACTTGACCAGGCAAATGGCTAGTCATTAGCCCTGCCAGCTCATCATTGGTACAAAGAACACGAACGAATCTCCCTCAAAAGAAAAGGATAAGAAGTGGAAATAGCAAGTCGAAGGATTGGACTCCTTCTAAACGTTACCAGAGGTAGCTAGCTATCTGAATCGCTACTATCTATGATATTCCACTGCAGCTCTCTCGCACGTCGGTCCACCACATTTGCCTAACCGCTTCCTCGTGGGACGAGTCAATCAACCATGTAGTTCCTTTTCTGTCTTTCGACTAGCCAAAGAGGTCTGAGTCAACTAATCCACCAAGATGAGGAGCTTTCTTTCGCTACCTTGAGCTGCCGCTACTAACAACACGACTACTTTTACCGCTACTTATGATTGCCACTTCCACTTCTCACTAAGGTAACCGGTGCCTCTATCTCCTCACTCTTCATCCGCCTCGACCACTTCCAACAGAGGCTGGAATTCCCTCTATGAAATTGGCATTTCACTCTTCCTATGGTACCCCCCGCCGGCTTGATCAAAGGTCCCATCCTTTCATTAATGAGCCCCTTTTGAGTTCCTATTTCACCTTCAGAAAGAATATCGGGACTTGGCTGAGTTCCTACTTTGAATGATGGGAATTTGCTATTCTCAAAGATAGACTTTCACCCCTTTCTAAGAAGAGCTGTCCTCAGCTCGACTACTCTTCGTCAGAGGCCCTGTCTCGGCTGTTGCCTCTTATTGCAGGTCTTTTGAGTGGGGTGCCATTACTTACCTCAGCTGTCCAGCCGGACTGTTCGTCCTGCCCACTCTAGCTCTGCCTCTAATGCTACTCGTCTTGCTGCTCTACTTGAAGGCTCTCACCTTGGACGTGCTGGTTCGGCGAAGTCGATTTCCAAAACAAGATTCGGAATTCGAAGAAGAAGAAGAAGGCCTGGCTTTCGCTACCTCTGTTACCGCTAGAAGTAAGGTACGTCCATTATGAATCCGAGTGCTAGGCCGATACGGCATGCCTTGGTTGTGGAATGATGTGTGCTGTTGGAAGTGCAATTCAGGATGTTGCAAAATGTAACAACAAAAGGTGTTCAGTTCACACTGGCATCTGTCTTGAAAAAGTCTAGATCGGATTTCTATCCAGCAGGAGGAAGCTCTCTATTTCGATCAAAGACCCATCCCATGCTTGGTAAGTCTACCCGAAAGGAAAAGCTATCCTTCGTTCTTTTACGTCGATTGGCTTAACCCGATTCTCTTTCTATTGGAAATGGAATTGAAGTGAAGGCCCAAGACTTCCACTTCTTCTCTATCTTCCAACAATTACAATTGAATCCTGATTTGTGGTTGGCGAAAAGAGAAAGGCAGACAATTCTGCAAAAGGAAAAAAGCAGGATATTCCAGGAGGGCTTATTCGGTATAGGCTTACTTAGCCTATTGAGGGCTTGTCCTCTCAATCCATACTCTATTCTGGGGGCTTAGTCCTCTCAAACGCCGAGGGCTTGTCCTCTCAATCGCCGAGGGCTTAGAATCCCACCCTGTGGCAAGCTTTATAATTTAGGCTATGGAGAGAGACCCAGCTAGACCTCCCATCTTCCATCCCGAAAAAGATCTAAGATTCAATCGTTGATGCCCGGTATTTTTGCCTATCCGCCGGCTGGCCAATCCAAGCCTAGGCTGGTTTCAAAGTTGACAGGGAATCAGTTCCCTTGGCCTAGGTTCAGTTCACTCGAGATCAGTGCTCAATGCTCTACTCAATCGCCGCTGTTTCCTAGCAGGACTCTCCCCTACAGTATCGTCACCGCAGTAGAGTTTAACCACCAAGTTCGGGATGGATTGGTGTGGTTCCTCTACGCCTAGGACACCAGAATATCGAACCATGAACGAAGAAAGGCATGAGAGAAAAGCATATTGGCTAGTCGTAGCTTGTTTTGACCTGCGCTTTGAATGAAGAAAATCCGACTTGGTCTCCTATCGTCGTTTCGCTTTGGTCGTAGCTACACCTTGTTCGGTAGCTTCGTTATTTTCTACCGCAACAGTACGTTTGACTTGCATGTGTTAAGTATATAGCTAGCGTTCGTTCGAAGCCAGGATCAAACTCTTCTTTTGAGTATGATTGGGCCCTGCAGTGGTAGAACCTGGTGAACCGGGCGTACTAATTTACATTGATTCTCTATCCTGAGCTCTTTATATATATAAACCAACTCGATCAAAATCAAAGAAAACAAAAAGCAACTACATCAACAACCCGGGGCCAATTAACCGGCCCATCCTACCTACTAGCGCTAATAAGGTTGAAAGAAAGGATGCGTCGAGCAAGCAGCGCGACCCCCGGTTCTACTTCACTAAGCCCCGTCCTTGTACAAGGAGGAAGCCACTCCCACCAGCTTGAATCACCTTTTTTTAGTAAGCCTTTTTTTTAACACGGACGAAGGAGCTCAACAAAGGTGACCGGGCTGCTCATGATCAAATTTCGAAAACAAAAAAAAGACTTCTTCCTTTCTTTCTTCTTTCTCAAAAGACCTTGATGGAATTGAGAGCAAAAGAAAATCAAACCCTACCCCTTCGAATGAATTGAAGAATGAAAAGTGCCGGCCCAAACTAGCTGGGATTTTGGGGGTCACCTCGCAGCCCTTTCCTCCAATCGAGTTGCAGTTGGCCTTGTTTCAGTCAGAATGAGTCCCCCGGACCCTCTCTTTAGTAGGTTTCTTAGTTTTCGCTCTCAAGAACTAGTACGCTCTCTTCTCGAAAGCCGAAGAGCAGCTAAACTAAGCAACTTGTTAAGAGATTAGGCGGCAGTTGAAAGAGCTGCTCGAAAGCCCCGTGTTTTTTAGTATTTTTCTAAAACTAATAAAGGAAAGAAAGAAGTCCGGCCGTTATGGCCAATTAAGCAAACCACGAGTAATTCGTCTACTTTGACTTACCGCACAACACCACTTTCTTCTTTCATATAGAAAAGAGAAAGAAAGGATACGCCAAAGAAAGATAGAGAAGAGAAGAGAAGAGAAGAGAAGAGAAGAGAAGAGAAGAGAAGAGAAGAGAAGAGAAGAGATAGGCTCAGCCGCATCCCATCCATCCACACAACACGATAGCTTAAGCAAAAAGTAGAGAGAGCTAAGCTATCATACAAAAAAAAAACTTTGGATAAGCAAGCGTACCTCCGGCCTACCATACACTAGTCTAAATCAATCTTTTATTTGTGTGTGTTCTTCAATTGGAAGGTGGTTTTGCTCTTAGGTATCTGCCCTGTCCTTTTCTTCAATTTCGGAACGCTCTAAATAAAGTATGCACGAAATTGAAGAAATAAGCGAGAACTTTTCATTTTGGTAACAACAATATAAAGCTAAATATGTTCCCATATTAGGAAATATATATATCTTTTTAAAAAAGCATTGTTTGGGTGGTCCACCAACAGGGACAACCTCCAGCAATTGAAAGAAAGTTGTGAACGGGCAAAATGAGGATGTTTGACACCTCGATTGTCCCGAAGCCCTCTCATGCGAATGAAATCAACTTAGCCAATGTTTTGTCCGGTTTCACTGAAGGAAAAATGAAAAAAAAAATAGAAAAGATACAAAATCACTAAAAGAAGATGAGCAGAAAAACTTCTTAGATACCATTGACCCCGGTATCTAAGAAGTTCTACCTACCACCTTTTCACACTGTTTAAGGGGCAGCATCTATTGAGAGTGGATTGACGGTGTTGAGAGATTTCCAGCATAAGCAGTAGTTGAACCAGCATAATGAAAAAGCTAGCAAAAGGGCAGGCCCAGAGTCGGATTCAGACAAATAGACAGAATGGCAAGCTTCATTACCATTCGATAAATCCCATCGGTTCCACTCTCCTTAATGCGCAAATGGCTTAAAAAGCTTTCTTCATTCGTCATCCCAAGAAGAAAGAATCTCCTTATTTCCAGCTGTCCGAAGCTTATAAGCAGGAATCGGCCATTCAGGGTACCCCTTTATGAGCAGCAATCCTAGAAGGAAGCAAGACTTACTGTACTGGCTTTCTTTCTTTGTGGAAGGGAAGCTTTACTAAAAAGATGCTTAGTGGGGCAAAGAGATTCGAAGGTTGAGAGATGGACTAGAGTTAACAAAAGGCCGATAAAGATGAACCTTTTTATTTGAGCCTAACTATCTATATATAAGGGGGGGGCACAGATAGATTTAGGAAATGCTTGATCTGACCATAAAATAGGAATAGGTACGGTACTCAAGCGGAAGTGGAGCGAAATGCTTCCCTTGAAAGAAGCACAAGCGAAACGATACCTAGATCCGGCTGGGAAACTACAAACAATGTTGCTTAGGTTACATTGGCAATAAGTACTTCAACCATTTTCTTCTATTTGCCACTAAGTAAGCTTGCCCCATGAGACAATGGACGCTTTTCATTCCTCTTTCGTCCCTTCCTTTTTCTATGGTTACCCGGAATCAGTACCAAGTAAAGTCAATTTCAAGTTAAGCTTTAAGAAAAAGACGTTTCACTTTTGATGGAAAATGAAGACGGATTCTCTCCTTGGCAAAGGGAATCCCCTTTCCCCTTTCTCTAATAATAAGAAAGGGGCAGGTTTCAGTCTTGAAGTTTGTCTTCTTCAATGGATAAGATTCAAAGGGCTTGACTGCACCTTGCTTCTAGGCTTACGGAAAAAGGCGAATCCGAGGGCTCTTTACTAATATAATATCATAGGGGACACTTCCTTGAAGAAAGCCGTGCTCCCATCAGCTTTCAAGTAGATAAAGAAGTTCAGGCTAGTGACATCAGCTATCGGCTATTGGCCTTTGTGAAAGCTTCTCCTCAATATGTTTGATCCCTTTCCAAGCCTTCCTCTTCGTCAATGATTATGGGTCGCTCCTGTCCTGTAGTTCGATACACTACTCTAAGGCCAGTTGCCTATACAGCACAGCATCTTGAGTTTATAGTAAAGTCAGCTTTGGTTATCGCTATACCCTCTCTAGACAAACGATTTGATTCCAGCCGCTCCACTACTGGTACAGTAGCACCCTGCCTTAATAATCGCATAGGCACCCCGGAACCCTACTCAGTAAAAAAGGGACTCCCTAAACGAGACTGCTAGCTGGTATGGAGGGACTAGCTTTGCTTGCTTCCTAGTCAAGCCCTATCCGTCTGAGTTTCATATGAAAGGTAAAATACTACAATCAAGAAAAAAGAAACTTCCTGCAGATTGCTCGAACCACGTAACCTAATCAATGCGCCTATTCCCCTAAATCAAGACAAAAGGGATTCCACGGCTCAAGGGACTTTTTAGCCCAAAAGGGACCTCGCTCGATCAGAAAAGAAAAGTCAAATTTCAATCAACTGATGAATGCCGTCAATCCAATCCACTTTCAATCAATCGACGACTGCTTCTCTTCCATTCTTAACGTCTTAAAGTGTACCATTCAGAAAAGGTAGGGTTACAGGGCGCTCTAAGGAGGAGATTTGTAAAAAGGATTCCCAATTCATTAAATTAGTAGGGGAAGACCCACCCTTATTAAATAACTTAGCTCGAACGTCCAGAGTCAGATGCTTAATCCATGCCATCCCTTTCAGCCTTAGCGCCGTGTTATCCCATAATCTATCATTCTCCAAAATTCCCCAAAGGGCCCCCTGACAAGTTCAGCAAAACCGTAGAGAGAGCGGGCTACACCTAGCTTAGCCTATCCAATATCCGATTCAAAAAGAGCTTGGATTGCTGCTTTTCCTCTCTCTGTATAAAGTCAGTCAGTCCCAGTGTTGGGCAGAGCCTATTGTCAAAGGATCGTTTCGCTGGAATGCTTGCTTGAATATAGCTACTCCCATTAAAAGGAATTTTGCACTCGGTAGTAAAAGCTACAAACCGAATGAAGAAGTCGGAAGCAGTTCATCGCCTGTGGGAGCTTGCTGATAGTGAGGAAGCCATAATCTATCTATCGGATTGCCTATTTGTCTATCTGTCTGGTGAAGAGAGAATGGAGGATACTCTCAATAGGGCAAGCACCCAATACCTCGTCGAGTCCAAAGCTCCAGCTCAAGCAGTTCAATCCAAAAAAGAGATGTCTGCCCTGCCTTCGTTCTCGCTCAAGCTAAAGCTCAGTCTGCTAGCTCAAGTCGCAAGTCAAGTAGTGGAGATCCAGTGACAGACAGAAAGGAGAGTTAGACTGGAATGATTCAGTAGGAATACACCACTACACATTCAACAGGAGCTGGCAGGGTACCTCAAGATTCCCTTAATCCAATCAGCTGGGAAGTATCTTGGCCTGCCAACACAATTGGGGAGATCTAAGAAGCAGACTCTTGGGTGGTTAAAAGAGAGAATCATGGCTAAAATAGCTGGGTGGAAGGAGAAACTTCTTAACCATGCTGGAAAGGAGGTGCTTATTAAAGCAGCTATTCAAGCAATACCATCATATGCAATGTCAATCTTTAAGTTTCCCAAAGGCTTTTGCCAAGAGATAATGTCTAATGTCAAAAGATTATGGTGGAGTAAGGCATCTGGGGAGAGAGGAATTCATTGGAAGAACTGGGAACACATCTCTAGAAGAAAGGATGAAGGGGGTTTGGGTTTTAGAGATCTGGAGCGTTTTAATATTGCAATGCTTGCTAAACAGGTATGGAGACTGATCCAGAGTCCAGATTCACTGTGGGCTAAGCTTCTCAAGGCAAAGTACTTTCCTACAACTACCGTGTGGCAAGCTAAGATTAAGCCAAATTGCTCTTGGGGGTGGAGAAGTTTATGGAGCCAAGGGAGCTTGTTAGAGCAGGGTCTTTTTGGCAGGTTGGGGATGGGAGCCAAGTTAGGTGTTGGGAGGATACCTGGGTTCCACGGTTTGAAACTATTCAAAATCACCAGCAAAGCAACGTTCAAAGAGTGTATGATCTAATCGAATGGCCTGATAAGAGATGGAATATGGAGCTGATTACTGAAGTTTTCCATTTCCCCCCCCCTGAAGTTTTGAAGGAGATACTAGGTATTGTCCTAAGTGAAACACCACAGCAAGATAGAATTAGATGGAATCATACAAATTCAGGTGTTTATTTGGTAAGGAGTGGGTACCATCTTTTAATGCAAAGATCCAAAACCCCCCAAGCAACAACTGGGGCTTCCTCATCCTATCACGTACCTGAAAGTATATGGAAGATCATTTGGAAAATTCAAGTACCTCCTAAAGTCCAGTCCCTTATGTGAAAGAGGAGGCTCACCAAAGATCCTATCTGCCCTATATGTGGAGAGGAGGATGAGACAATTGAGCATTTGTTTTTGCTTTGTCCATGGGTCAATAGGATGTGGAAGGCCTCTCCTCATAATCTTAAAGTTGATAGATATGATTTAAGAAGGATGGAGGAATGGCTTATGATCCAGATCCAGTGTAAGGGGAATCAACCAATGAAATCACTTATGTGTTGGTTTATTTGGAAATCAAGAAATGAATGGATTTATAACCGTCATGTACCTCAGCATAACACTGTCATTCATAGAGCCCTTATGGCTACTGAGGAGTTTCTTTACAGCAAAGAAAAGCAAATACTCAAAGAGAAGACAGCGGAGGTGGCTTCCTCCTATCAATGTCCGCCTAAGGAGTGGATGAAAATCAATTGTGATGGGGCTTGGCTGGAGAAGACAGAGCAAGCAGCATATGGGGTAGCTGTCAGAGATGATAAGGGCTCATTTATTACTGGGGATGCTTGGTCTTTCACGGCTAAATCTGTTCTTGTTGCTGAAGCATGTGCAGTAAGGAGAGCTTGCAGTTTGGCATTGGAGCATGGATACCAACATGTTATAATAGAGTCTGACGCTAAGGCTCTTATGGACACGTTGGGCAAAGGTAATGAAGATGTATTAAGGGATATTGCTATGATTGTCCAAGATATATGGGTTTATGCAAGGCAGATACCCCAGGTTACCTTCTAGGCAGTAAGGAGGAATCAAAATGTGCTTGCCCACACAATAGCATCATTAGCTAGAAGGGGCAGCCTCCCTCTCAGTTGGCTTAATGTTATCCCAGTATGTATAAGGACTGTAATTAGGAATGAGGAAAGAGATGGGGTAGGCTGAGTTGTATTTGGTTTGTAGCAGGACCTTTTATATTAATGCAAGTTTGTTTTTTGACCAAAAAAAAAAAAAGAAAGAGAAATTTGAGGGAGAGGAATCTAACCCAGTACTACATACATTTTCCAAATATGAACCAATTTAAAAAAATATGGTTACAATTAGAGTTGACAATTGAGTTAAGTTTTGCGAATTCGAATCGAGCCTGTCGATCTCATTTTTCTAAATAAGACTAAAAAATTGTTTAAACTCGACTCGTTTAAATACTAGTTGAACCCAAATCGAATTCAAAAGGAACCGAACTTAAATAACTTAGCTCAATTATCAGCCTTAACTACGGTACAATATTGTTTTGATATCATACTTGCATGTAGATTTGAGTTTAATCGATTTGTAGTTAAGGATTGTGAAAATTGATAAATAAGGTATAATAATAAAATAAAAAACTTCACACGTATCAAACTAATACTAAAAAAATTATTAATCATGAAATTACAGACTAACGCATTCTACGAAATATAGTTTTGAAGCAAGACAATAAACTAAATAGAAAAAAAAATCACGAGATTTGAGGTACACGTTATTTTACCCTAATAAATATTCAGTGTAATAGTTGCACCATTACATGATAACCCTAGTGGTTAATGTTAAGGATGCGTAACTGTTATGATAGATACTTTCTTTCTCTACCCATATTGTTGGTTGCAACTTGCACAACCTACAAGCTTTCGTCAGGTATCTCGATCGTAGCTAGCAAGCCTACGTCTCATTATTGTAACGGGCTTTCTGTGTCGTCTATACTTGGTAGCAGCCTTGTAACTTGCTTTTCCCCCGTCAGTCATAACAGCCTCCGTTCGGGAGGTTCAGCCTCGTGAAGCAGTTAACTATCGACTCTGATACCATATTGGGAGATTGGAAATCCATTAATTCAAAGTCGAATACATATATGTTTGAAATTTATATCCACCTAAAAACTTATGTCTATAAATAGTGAGTCCATCAATTGAATA